ACACACACACACACACACACACACACACACACACACACACACACACACACACACACCCCAACAGGCATCCTACCTGAGAGCTAGGATAGACTCCAACACAAAGGAACCTGCCAGCCTGAAAAGAGCAAGCTTTTTGTTGCCTCTCCCCCGGAAAGACTCGGCAAGTTCCTGCCTTTTGGTTCATCTTCTATGCATTTAAAGTTTCTACAGAATTGAAAATGAGCATCACCAAAGCACGTGGGATGTGTCAGCAGTTTGCAACTCAGTACGGACAAAATTAGGAAACAATAGAATAATAAGAGTGGAATAAAAGATGTTAGCAACAAATATATAAGCAAAGAAATGGGCTGGCCACATGGCAAGAATCAGGCACAACTGACGAGCAGTCCATTGGCTTCACTGATGTCCCTGCAATGGTAAGACAATGTACAGAAGGCTCCCGGCATGGTGACTGTATCTCCTCGGGAGAGCATGAACAAGACATGCACGGATATGGAAAAGAATCAATGGGGTGTGACCTGGAGCCAGAAGGAACCTTAGGAGTCTAGTCCAACCTCCTTATTTTACAGATGGGGAAACTGAGGTCCATGAAAGTCCAGTGACTCAACCAAGGGCACCCAGATACTAAATGGCAGATCGAGGATTTGAAATTAGTACCCACATCAATAAGATCAGAGCTCCACTGGAGTACATTTAAAGAAGTTGATACACAGCTCTTCCTTGGGAGATGAGAACATTCTCTTTTTTCAAAAGAGGTTGAAGAATTTAATTTCCACGCTTTTGTGGTAGGAAAACCTTATCTATCTATTTATTTATTTGGTTTTCAGCTGAACCAGATTAAACTGTAATTGATAATGTTTAACAAAATAAAAATACAGTATCACAGATAGTTAATTTGTGATTTTTTTTTTTTGGTGAGGCAATTGGGGTTAAGTGACTTGCCCAGGGTCACACAGCTAGTATGTGTTATGTGTCTAAGGCCGGATTTGAACTCAGGTCCTCCTGACTCCTTGGCCAGTGCCCTGTCCCCTGCGCCACCTAGCTGCCCCTAATTTGTGATTTTTGAAGTCAATATGAGCCTACTGGGAACTATTTCTATTTTAGTTTGGACTACTGATCTAGTCCAGCCAATAGCTGAGCAGGAATTTCCTCTCTAACATCCCTGACAAGTGGTGGCCATCTAGCTGCCCTGTATTGAAAGACCTCTAGTAATGGGAGAGCCCCCTGGAGGCAGCCTGTTGTGCCTTAGGAAAGGAGAACCTTATTTATAAAGCGGGAGAATTCCGTGAGCTCTTGCCACTCCCTCATCCACATTCCCTCTGCACCCCAGGACCCCAAGGATGACTCACTCTGTACCATGGTGAAGGCAGGCAGGTACTCAGCTGTGAGCAGCGGAGCAGGCAGTTCTCGGATGAACCTCTTCAGCAAACCTGATGCATCATTTTGATGGACCTCATCCCAGTTGAAGAGGCCTGCATAGAACTCTCTCTCCAGCTTCTGCTCCAAACTCTGAAACCAAGAAGAACATGAGCTGGACACCTCAGGTTCAGGTAGAACCAACAACTCTCATATCCTTTGCCTTCTTTCTAGGCACACAATCACCCTTCTAGTTCTGTCCCTCAATCTCCTCTCATCTGGACTATGTAATAGCCACCTAATTGCTATTAGGTCTCGCCCCTTTTAGGCTTTCCCTTCTCCTATCCATCCTTTAAAAAGCTGCCAAAATAATCTAAGGCAAAGGTCACATCCATGCTCTAAGACCTTTAAGGGCTCCCTATTGCTTCTTAGATAAAATACAAACTTGTCAGGTTAGTACTTAAGTTTAAAAATCTGGCTGCAACCTACCTTCCCAGCCTTATTTTATATTTATTCTCCTTCCTGTACTCCATGTTCCAGCTAAACTGGATTACAAGCTGTTCCCTGAATGCAACACTCCATTTGCACATCTTCAGTACCCGGAATCTACTGTCTCTTCAACTCTGCCTCTGGGAATCCTTATCCTCCTTTCTTCAACTATCTCCTCTGTGAAGCCTTTCCTGTGGCCCCCAGTTATAAGTACTTTCTGCCTACTTAAAATACCTCACATTTATTTATTTGTGGGCATGTTATATTTTCTACTAATCCCCACCTCTTCCCACCCCCTGAACAGAATATAGATTACAACATTTCCCACGAGGCTCTGGCTCTAGGCTTCAAGGATTAGCTTGATTAGAGTCCCACGCCTGACATCCTGTCATTTATGTGCCTAAGCACCTGTTGGAACAGGTTTATTTCAGGACTAGAACATAAAAGAGGAAGAATAAGGTGAACTTCAGCGAGGCTGCAATGGTATAAGCCAGGGGCTCGGGAGTCCCAACATGTTTCTGAGCCCCAGAGCTAGAGAACCAATTGCAGAGCCATTGAACGGAGAGTCAAATTAGAACAACATGCTGTCGTGAGACTTGGTCTGCTCAGTGGAGATGGCTCCAACACAAGTTACTTTAGCCACCTTCTATTTCCAGAACCAGCTGAAGGTGTCATGAACACATTCATGAAAGAAGGAAACCCACAAGCCTAACTCCATGTGAAACAAGCAAGCAGAACAGAGTACAGAAAGTCCCATTGCTATGGTTTTCCAACCAGCTACAAAGACCATGATGAAAAGAGATGAAGTAGGATCGCATCATCTTTATCCAACTTGACCATGAGAGAAACAATTCCCTCACCCTGGCACACAAGCCTTTCAAAGGATAATGCTTCCCAGGTCTCTTCCCCATTATCCCACTCTACCCCTGCCATCATTTGTGTGTGACTAAGCATACTGGAATATATCCCTCCAGAAATGTGTGTAAATTTATCTTCTCTATTCCTTTGCTAATTATTTTCATCCTAATAACATATTTTAATTTAAAATATATGTTCTTTATTTTTATTTGCCAGGAAGGTACTATAACTGAATTTAGGTGACCTGGGGAGGGTGAATTAAGCCACCTGAAGTACACTTATCATCCAAATTACTCAGTAAACCCAGTAATCCACGGGAATTCAAGGAAAAGAGGTGATAATTCCTAGAGAGAAGTACTGTATTTCAGAAAGACTAAAAAAAAGGATTATGGCTCTTTGAGAATAGGGGTTATTTGGATTTGTGTTTGTAACCCCCAGTCCCTTACATAGTACATAGAAAGTACTCAATAAGAGTATGTTGAATTGAAGAGGAATTGACACTATTTCTAGAACCCCAGTGCCATAGGGACACATGCTTGTTCCTGATAACACAATTTCTCTGTTAGGCAATCAAGTGGCATCACAGTGTAGGGAAGAATACTAGACAAAGTCAGAAACTTTTGGGTTGAACTCTGCCTATTACCTTTGTGACCCCAGGAAGTTCCTTACCCTCTCTCCAGGTCTAAGTTTTTTTCTTTGTAAAATGATGGGGGTGGCCTACATCAGGGTAGCTGAGCAGGCCACAGGCAGAGGGACACTAAGGTCAGAGTTTACAGACCTGCCTCTGGCCTAGAAGATCTCATCCTGCTATAAATCCTATTAACCATCCAGGGAAGCTGGGTGGTGGGATTGCTCTCTCCCTTTCCTTCCATTTGCTCCTTCCTCTTGGCTACCCCACTGAGAGTCTGAGCATGACAAAAGACCCACCACCAGGAACACCTACTCCCTTGACTTCCCTTCTCCTCCTCCCCCAACCTCCTGGCCATCTATTATCCAAGGGGCAGAAGAATACATGGTTACTTACACAGTCTGGATGAGACTATAACCCTTGTGGTGAGATAGAGGTCCACTGGGCTTTATCATCTGTCCTGCTTCTATGCCCTCCAGAACCTTGGGCACTGTAATTTGACTTAATGAAGTACCCTGGGGTCTTGCCCTATGTCCTGTTGTACACTGTTAAGACTTCTTGTCCTTTCCCGGTGCCTGGGCCCATAGAATTCTCTTGTATCTGTTGTTTCCCTCATTAGAATGTGAGCTCTTTGAGAGCAGGGGCTGTTTTGCATTTCTATTTGTATCTTTAGTGCTTAGCAGAGTACTTGGCATATGAGAAGTGTTTAATAAATGATTTTTCCTTCATCTTTTCAACTCTCTGAGTCAGTGTATTTGCTGGCTGGAAAAAATTAGTTGAGTCTTAATAGGAATTTAAGAGAACTGGATAAAAATTGTGCCAAATAAGAAGAGAACCAGGAAGAGGAAATGTGGGTAGGAAAAGGAAGGTAGAGGGTAGGATAGTCAAGGCAGGTGCCTAAAAAGCCAAATGAAATTAAATAGAACCACCCCACATGAATATCAATATCCATGAACTGAATTTGCATTTTACTCACTCAACAAACATTCATGTTTAATTATCCCTATCAATTCATAAAATGCACAGGTCAGTAAGAGAGTATTTCTACTGGCCATAGGTGCACATTAAAATGCCAGGAAAAGAGACTACTATATACACAGGTGAATACAGAAGCTGGAAGACCTAATTCCAATTATTAGCAAAAAACAAAACAAACAAACAAAAAACACCCAATTACCTTAATTCTGGTCTGGGAGCCAGATATTCTCAGGATCCCTTCAGTGTCTAACCCTCTCTTCTCCAAACAGGACAGCAGCTAGGAAAGAGTTGGAGCCAATGAGTAAAACAGTAGGTGACAGGAGCTTTGAAAATCCATCTAAGAAGATTCCAACTTAGGAGCTGGTTTCTATACATAATCCAGAGTCTGAGAGGTTTAGGAACAGTAGTGTACTTAAGACAGATGGCCAGAAGTTGACTTGCAGTTACACGCACATGACATCTGAAGCCAACTTACAGCCTGTAGAATCAATGGGACTTGTGTGTTGGGGACAACTTTCTGATCAGTCTCCAACAAAGTACTAAGATGAACTCCAAAAAGCCGGTTCTCTGTAGAAAAAGAAGAGACAAAAAAAGATTTCATGTCTTTTTAAGTAATATTGAGTTTCCTTCCTTAGTTTCTCCAGGATCAACATGCATTGGACTATCCATTCCAACAGAAGGTGCAAATTTTAAAGGGAATGGCTAATCTCCATAAATGTTCTCCTCCAATGCTACCCTGAGACAGAGACATTCAGCTCAATTCTCAGGGTGAACGAAATGGAACATAAATTCTTGCAGGCCCTACTAAGCTGAAAGGATTTTGAGTACAGGACCAGGGACAGACTGAGTGTCTACTATATAAGGGACACAGAGATTTAGAGATGGAAGGGACCTTAAAAGGCCACCTACTCCAACCCTTCTGTGCTTCATATGACAAAACTGAGGCCTAGAGAGGGTGACTCGCCTCAGGTCACACAAGTAGTAAGTATCTGATGTGGGATATAGAAGCCATGCCTCTCTGATTCTAAGTCCAGTACTCTATCTGCTATAACACACTACATTGGATCTGCTACATTCAGAAATACTAACCTCCAGAGTTTGGCCACTGGACCATAATATTTTTGTTTACCACAACTTATTAAATGATCTCCCAAGACATGGAGAGGTTGTGATCTGTATTAGTGGGAGTACGCACACTGATGGGCCCACAGGTGCTTGAAACAACAAAAACTGAGTCTTAGCCTTCTCCATGTCTATCAAGCAAGCAAATCAGCAGAAGGCAAAGATTACTGAGATGAAGCTCTGAAGGTGAGAGAAAAATATGTATGTGCCACAGGACACACACACACACATACACATGCTTGTGGGTAAATATGCATAGCAAAAATTTTGATGCAAACCCACAAATGGAGGTGGGGGAGACTTGGGGTGGAGAAAGTTGGGCTCTGTTACTGGTCATGAGGCACTAGAAGCAGTTAGATAGCAGAGCAGATAGAACCTGGAGTCCGGCTCTGGCTGGGCCTAGAGTCAGGAAGGCCTGAGTTCAAATCCAGCCTCAGACAATTACTAGCTGTGTGACCCTGGGCAAATCACTTGACTCTTATCTGCTTCAGTTTCCTCATCTATAAAATGCAGATCATAACAGTATCTACCTCCCAGGGTTGTTTGCAAGGATCAAATGAGATAATATTTGTAAAGTGCCTAGCACAGTGTTCGGCACACAGTAGGTGCTTAATAAATATGTCTCCTTCTTTTGATGAATAGACTCACCCATGAATCTGGAACTCTTTGTTCTCAGTAACTATGGGCCAATATTCTTATAAAGAAAGTCTCTTCCAAACCTCATCTAGGATTCGCCTGTTTCCACATGTTATCCAGCACCCCTGCAGAGGTTAAGATTCCCCATGCGTTCTACCCCCAAATAAAAAAAAATTCAAGTGAATATGAGTTTGTTTTCAATCAAACCTTATTTCAGTTAAAGACTCTTAAGTGGACTAGAGGATGGTTAACCTGTTGCCTTCCATTTTCCTGCCTTGCTCCTCCTCAGGTCCAGCCCCAAAATGTCACAGAGGGCCGTCAGCTCAATCAGGGCCAGCGTGGGGATCTTCTTCATATCTTGTGGTGACAAGTCTCCTATTCTTGTTACTCCAAGTCTTCCCTTAGGAATTCTAAACTTCTAAAGAAACAGAAGAAAATTCCCTATGGTCAAAACCTTTAGTAGGGACTAAGGTGTCTGAAATTACAGATAATTCCAGGAAATCCAGACATTTTCAGGTAACACATGGACCAGAAAGATTACTGGTCTAGGAATCACAATGTCCAGTTTCTAGTCTTGGGTCTGATATCAACATCTGTGTAACCTTGGATCAACCACTCTCTCTTCTCTGGGCCTCAGTTTTGTCATCTGTATAATGAGAGGGCCTTTTGGCTCTGATAGCCTATGCAGCTGTGATAATAGATGGCTACTAGAACTTGCCCTTTGAAACACTCTCTCTGACTACAAACTTCAGTCCCTCTGCTTCTCTCATTCTCACTCTTAGTGAACCTGTCCTTTGCTCTCACAAGAAGCTCCAGTCCTTCTAGGTCTCCCTAGTTTTTTGGTATATTAGCCTATTTCCAGTTTCACCTCCCACTCCACTTAGCTCAGAACTATGGCCAAGTAGTTTGACAATTCTCTTGCTTAAATCCTAGATTCTTTTACCACCCCTGTGTCCACTGCCAAACTATCCTTATTAATATCCTGTCGAGGATGAATCCCAAATGGCTGATTTTTGACAGAGAAGTCACAAACTGAAAGTCACAAAATTGACTGAAGGCCTCATTCAGGTTAAATGGCAGAAATTTATAGTGGAGCCAAAGCTCCCTCAGAGTTTTTTTTTCCTATTCATCTTTTGCTGACTCCTTAGGATATTTCTCAGCAAGCATTTAGCCCAACTCATATATGAAAGGAATCCCCACTACAACATACCTAACAAATGGTCAATCAGACACTACTGTGAAATCTCCAAGGAGAAACCCACAACCTCTCAGGGCAGATATTCAACTTTATAAAGCTCCAATTTATTGCTAGGAAGTTGTTCTTGTATCAAGCCTAAATTTGCCTCTTAGTAATTTCTATCCGTTGCTCATCTTCCTCTGAATCCCTTTAACTGAATTTTAAAAATCAATTTAATTTATTTTCCATTCCAATTTCTCTCTCCTACCTAATCCTTCCCCATTCATTGAAAAGGAAAAAAAAAAACATTACCAATATGTATAGTCAAGTAAAACAAATTCCCACAGTGTTCATACCCCCCCACACACAAAATATTCTTTAATCTGTACACCTTTCAGTACTTTGGACTTCTTGTACGACCCTAATCACAACGAACCTTGTTTTACAATGCTATGTATAGATGTCTTATCTCACATTCAAAACTGGAAGTTCCTTGAAGGCAGGGACCAGGCATTATTCATCTATAAATCCTCCATAGGGCCTTATTCACTGTAGATGTCCAGGAAATGTTTATGAAATTGAATCCAATAGCACACCCTCAATGATGCCCCAGAATCCAAATGCCCGAAGAGGCTCAGGTAACCAACCATCCAAGCATGTTCCCAATGCCTTACCGGCAGTGAGCCTTTGCCCCTTATCCACTTGGCTTCTGGGGGCAGTCTTCCTTTCTGCAGCAGAGCTGCTTGCTCTGAATATGCAGAATCAGTGCTGAAAATTTCCTCCTTCCCAGAACTGGGAACTGGGCCAGGATGTTCCACACATCCTGGATAATCTGCCACTGCCAGGGGACAAAAACAGAGCTCTTCAACAGAAGTTGCAGGGCAGATGTCCTGTAGATGTTGGTGACCACAGTTCTGAGGGGAACAGCTGCTCAGAAGTTTATCTATTACAGATGTGCTTCTCCCTCCTTGGACCCCAGACCCGTAGGCCAAACTCTTAGTTCCCATAACCAATTAATCTTGCCTGCAGAATAACTAACTATAGAGATCCCATCCAAGTTTTTCCCATTTCTCCTTTCTTATCCATTCAATCTGTCCTTCATACCTAGAATATTCTTATATGCACATTCCTAAAGCACATAATGCATTATATCATATAATGCATAATAACGCATAATCCAAATGTGCACAGATCTAGTGATGTCATTTATCTGCTAAAGAATTTTCAATGATTCCCTATCCCCTACAGAGTAAGGTTCATACTTCTTTGACTAGCATTTAAAGTTTCTTTAATTTGGTGCCATCCTACCTATCCTGCCTTATCTCATATATTCTCTAAACCAGCCAAACTGGATATCTCTAAGGTTGCAAAATAGCCACTGTGCTCTCGCTCTTCTTGTCTTTACTCAGCCTATTCCCAATCCCTTATATGACCTTCTATCCCCCTACCCACCCTCACCCCCTTTGCCTGCTGAATTCCTTCCCATTCTTTTCCAATTCAAATTCCACTTCTTTGAAGAAGTCTTCCTTGATCCCACTGGTTGGCAATAGCCTTTCCCCTTCGGATTGCCTACAGCACTTTACTTGCACCTTCCTAATATATTCAATGGGTAATATTGTACATTATAGCTGTACTACTAGCACATTCCTAGACTAAATTCATGAGGACAGGGACCAAGACTTAGTTAAACTTTGTATCTTTCCCAGCACCTAACCCACGGCTCTGATCACAGTACACACTTAGTAAATGTTTGCTGAATTGTACCTAGAAGTCTTATAACCACAATGTGCCTTTTTTTCCTATGATGGAAGGTCCCAGAGTCCACCAGGACTCCCAGTGCATGTTACTGGCATTTCTCAAATTCTCTGATATATGGAAAAGAAAACAATTTATCTGGGTCATGTTAATGCCAGGCATTCATTAGGCACCCAACTCTATGCAGATGAAAGATTCATTACCTTTAGGGCTATATCCTCAGACTCCAAAAACTCAGGCAGCCCAATTTGTCAAGAAATTTGACCCCCATCGATCTTGCTTAAGGTCATTTCTACATTAGTACAAGGGCCTAGAAGTCTACCAACCACTCCATGCTGGCTTCCAAACCCAATGACAGTTTCACAAACGACACCGAGGTACTGGTCAGATCTCAACAGCTTAAGAGGCAGAGGCTGGGAGCCAAGAAGAAGGAATGAGCAGGATATAGGGAGGAGGAAGAAAAGGAAGAGTTAGTTTTTTAAAGTTTTTGGTAGTAAAAAAGCTTATTTTGGTTAATAAACATCTTCCAGAGACTGATAATGGTCCAAAGACCAATAGCTAGAAAATATTGTCATAGAGAATGTCCTTGGAGAGGAACCTAGATGTACTTTTAGATTTCCAAAAAACAAAGGCACTTCTTACTTGGTGGGGATTCTGCAGGTCTGGATTTTAGCTGTGTCCATTTCCCTTCAGCATCCACTCTTTCTGCTAACACCTCCTACATAAGAATGTTGCAAATTATATTGATCAATAAGCATTCAGTAAGTACCTACTGTGTGCCAGGTACCGGGGACACAATGACAAAAATGAAAGTCCTTTTCTTCAAGAAGCTTATAGGCTATAGGAGAAAACAACATGTATAATAGAAGTATATACAAAATGGGTATTTTCTACAGATATAAGTAAACGCAAGGTAAAGGGAAGAGGGAAGAGATAGTAATAGCCAGGTCAGGGATAGGTGTCACACAGGAAAGGCACGAGGTACACTTTGAGGGAAGCTGGAAATTCTAAAAGGTAGAAGAGGTGAAGAGGAAATAAATTCCAGGCATGGGGGGAGAGAACAGTCTATGTAGAGGGAGAGGGATGGGGGATGGAATGATATATTACAGTTAGCATTTAAGGTTTACAAAGTGCTTTACATGTCCTCTTATTTGACTCTTACCATAACTCTATGAAGTAGGTACTATTATTACTCTCATTTTGCAGAAAAGGAAATTGAGACTGAGAGAAGTTCTAGAAGGCCAATTTGACTGGACCACAGTATATATGAAAGGAAGTACAGGTATCCCTTCCACATCTCAGGGGTTAGAGGTGCAGCACCCCTACAATCTAGAAAATCCACATAGAATTTTTTGGCCCTCCCTTCATAGCACAGAAGTCTGAATTATTATGATATTACAAGATAAAATATGTTGGTATTATCCAATGCTATACGTATATTTTATGCTTTTCTGTGTCATCTGTGGCTTCCACAAAATTCCAAAAAAATTCCCATTTAATTTCTTATGCCAACCCATGATATATCGAAACTGTGATGGGAAAAGTCTCAATGTGGAAGGGATAACTATAATGAATAATAAGCCTGGAGGTAGGCTGAAATCAGGTTGTAGAGGGCTATAAATACCAAACAGAGAGAGGAGTTGATATTTGCTCTGAGAAGCAATAGGAAGCTAATGGAACTTTTTGAGAGCAAGGAGTAGGGGGATGACATGGTCAGACCTGTACTTTAGGCACCTGATATCTGATGTACAGAGTTCTTGTTCTAAAGGCCCTTAAACTACAACTACTGTGATTCATTCCTAAGGATCTGGTTTGTGTTATGTATGACCTCTCTTTTAATGCATGTAAGAATAGGTTTGCTTAGAAATGTGTTTCTGCAAAAAATATCCTTCCTCTGGGGACTACAAAATGAATGCCTATTACTTACCAGAGAATATGTATATGCATATAGTCATATGTAGAGACAGATATTCAAATTCAAGACTTTTTCCTTTTCCTTGTTAGGATCATTGTGTATTGAAGTTTATTTCTCCTTCCCATATAGAATAAGAATTAGTATTCTTATATGAAGAATCCCAAGAGAAAAAGCTATATGCACTTCCATTAGAGGACCTCTGATCCTTACTTGAGATTCACTTGAGTCAAAGACTTCCTCATACTTATGAGGCTAATTAGAAGCAAAACTTGCTGGGGAGGATCATGCCCATCTTACATACTATCTTATTTATCTATATAATTTTAGTTGCTTCTCACTTCCTTTTGCTTTTATCCCTGAAACTAATCCAGAACTCCTCCTGTTCTCCCATTTACAACTTTATAGGTAAATGTGCAAATGGTCCCATAAAACCTGGTTTCATAGATAAAATCCTCCACACTCCTTTGTTGGCCAATCTCAAGTCAACTGGAAAATATCCCAATCCCATATTCTCATCTCCCTCAACCAATTATCATAATCAAGGGTTCCAAAGAGTAGATCTGGAAACAGAGATAACAGATAATACCTTACTCACTGCCTAACCCACCTCAGAAATGGAAATTTTCCATTATAGAAAGTACAGAAAGGGAAAGCTGGGAAACCCATCTTTGAGGTAGCTACCATATTACTATCCCAACCTGGGCACAATTTTGGGAGACTGCAGCATTCCACCTCCATCTCCAACCCTCCTGAGGTCTTAGTCAGCTGCATAGAATATCTTTTAATAAATATTACTTGTATAACCTATATCAGATTGCTTGCCATCTTGGGGAGGGGGAAAGGGAGGGAGAAAAATTTGGAACTCGAAATCATAATAAAAAATGAATGTTCAAAACTATCTTTACATGTAATTGGAAAAAATAAGATATTATTTACAGAAAAAAATATTACCTAGACATAAGTCTTTGCATAATGTTAACTAGATAATCCCTCAAGGAGAGATTTCTTGCCCCCAAATATAGGAACTTAAATGGGTAGGAGACATTGCTCATGTTTTCTTGTCAGACATAGTATGTCACTTGGTTTCACTTCACTGTTTGTTTGGGGTTTTTTTTGTTACAAGGAAGGCTGCTGTGAAGGCCTGGGGGAGTGGGGAGATGGAACAGGAGACAAGGGAATTAGATTCAAAAATGACTATGATATAAATAAAGCACATCAATATAACTTTAAAGGAATAAATGAAATAAGAGTCAGCCTGCTGATGATAACTAACATTTACATAGTGTTTTAAGGTTTGCAAAGTGTGTTTACATCCATTTATCATCTTTGAACCTCACACTGAGGATAAGGATAATCCTTCTTAGCAGCTAAGTGGCGTGATGTTTAGAGCCCTGGGCCTGGGGTCAAGAAGACCTGAGTTTGATTCTGGTCTCAGACACTTCCTAACTGTGTGACCCTGGGAAGTTAGGGGAAGGAGAAGGTTTTAGGAAGAAGATGATGAATTCAGTTTGGGACCCATAGATGTCTCTGATATCCCACAGATTTTGAGGGATCAGTGGGACATTCTGCTGGAGATGCTACGTAGACAGGTGGAACTGGGGAATGGGATCTCATAGAAGCATTCAGGGCTGCCGGGAGAGAGCTTTGGGAGACATTTTCATAGATGCAGTAACTGAATCCCAGAGAGCAGACGGTGCTCCTTAGAAAGTAAGAGGGTTACTTCTTCCCCCAAGTGAGAGAGATCAAGAGATTTTTTTTTTTTTGCCACATAAAGGAGAGAGCTTAGAGGAACTCCCATTTAATGGCCTCAGTCTTCTCAATGAACTAGGAGGAGAGGTGACTACAAAGAATGAGAGGGACAAAAGAATGGAATTGAAGAGAGCAGGGAAAGGAGTGATTGTAATATCACAAGAAAAAATGTTGAAAAGCTTAACTCCAGTAACTGTATTTTCTTTAAAACATGTAGCCACCAGGCAAAAGTGTTTCTCAAGTTAAAAAGTACAGGCATGCCTCACTGAGGAATTGTTCTATTACTGAACAGTTGGCTGCTGTTCATTTTTCTAATGTCCTTTACCCCTCAGCAGGCAAGGATGCTTCAGGTGCCATTATCTGGAGACAAGGGTCTTTCTCTGACTCAAGGATGCAGCCTTGGAGTCATAGGAGTTGGCTTTGTGAATCTTGGCTCGGCTATGCTTTAGTTGTGTGACCTTAGACAGGTTATTTTCCCTCTCTGAGGACCTCAGTTCCCTCATCTACAAATGGAGATAATATCATACTGCCAATCTCAGAGTTATTTTAAGGCAAGCACTTTATAAAGCTTTAAGCACCCTAAAATGTTGAGTTGCTATTATTTTTATTCTCTAAAGTGGTGATGGAAGCAGGGACTTCTGAATGATATTTTATTGATTAGAGCCAGCAAAAGTGCTAGAAGAAGCCTGACATGGATTTAGAGGAGCTACTTAACACCAGCATGGTACAGTGAAAAGAGCGATAGATTTCGACTAAGAGAATGTCGGTTTGAATCCCAGCTCTGCAACCATGGATGTGCAAGTCACTTAAACTCTCTGGACCTCAGTATCCTTCCCTGTAAAATGAGGGGGTTGTACTCGATGGGCTCTGAAGTCTTTTATAACTCTAAATCTGTGATCCGAAAATCCTTATATTAGATAAACTCCTGGTGATCAGGAACAAGGATTTTGACCTTTGTCCTAGGATAAGAAACTTCTTGCTCTAAGCAAGAAGGGGACACAGAGGTCATCCAGTCCAACCCTGTCATTTTACAGGAGGGGAAACTGAGGCCAAGAGAATTTAAGTGTTAAGTCTAGTTGTTTGGGGGCAGCTAGATGGCAGAGTGGATACAGCACTGGCCCTGGAGTCAGGAGGACCTGAGCTCAAATCCAGCCTCAGACACTTGATACTTACTAGGTATGTGACCCTGGGCAAGTCACTTAACCCCATTGCCTAGCCAAAAAAAAAAAAAAAAGTCTAGTTGTTTGGTCATTTCAGCCATGTCAGATTCCTCATGATCTTATTTTGGGGTCTCGGCAAAGATACTGGAGGGGTTTGACATTTCCTTCGCCAGCTCATTTTTATAGATAAGGAAAGTAAGGCAAACAGGATTAGGTGACTTACTCAGGATCACACAGCTAGTAAGTGTCTGAGGCTGGATTTGAACTCAGGAAGATGAGTCTTCCTAATTCTAAGCCCAGCGCTCTATCTACTGTGCCACCTAGCTGCCCATGCCCAAGGTAGTACAGGTAGTTTAGAGACAAGTTTTGTACCAAGATCTTCTGACTCCCTATGCAACCACACTTTCCATGACACCACATGGTAGTCCTGGAAACTAGTATAATGTACGTAGTAGGGACTTAGTAAATGTTTGTTGAATTAAATTGAATTTGCCTTAGAGACTTGATGTTCCTTTTCTTACTAAGGCAGATATAACACCCGGTCAGTTGAAAATCTGACCTCCTACTGTATGACCTTATGTGTATATGAGTTTCATAGTCACCAGAGTGTCAAGGATTAATTTTGTTTGTGGAAAATATTTGGGAGAAAGCTGCTACTGTCAGCAGGAGTTCTGGGAATGAGGCAAGAGGGGGAGGGGAGTGAAAAGAGGACCAAAGATCAGAGAAGACAAGATTTAACTGACCCCAGAATCAAAAGTGCCAAAGATGTCTCTGACGTCCCTCACTGGTGGCTTGCTTTTCTTACGCATTGAGCGCGTGTATGTGTCTAGTCTCCGTTGCACAGCAGCCGCCTGGGTCTTTGTGAGCGTGGACAGGAGCACTCTGTTATCGCTGTCTGGCGTAGGGGTCCCAATGAGGTCAGCCAGGCCTGTGTCCTGCAGCCACTGGGCTTCCGCCTCGCCCTCTGTCAATAAATGGAAAGCACTAGATGCAGTAAACACATTACCATGATTCCAGAGGCAAGAGGGACAGCAGATAGGGTCCTACTCACACAGATAATACCAGACAAACAGACAGATCTTTATGGTAATGAGTTCCTTGTCAACCAAAGTATGTGGGATCACACCAAATAGCTACTTGTCAGGAATGTTGGATAGAGGGGATACTTGTGGTTTGAGAGGGTGCCAGGTTAGACAACCTTTGAAGCCCCATTCAAACCTTCATTTTATAATTCTCAGAGACAGATATTCACCCTTACAGATACCATCACAAGAGCACAATTGCCATGGGTAAAACTTGGTTTGAAATATATATTCTTGCTGGATGTTTTCATCTAAGGACTAAACACAATGAACTTTTAGTATTGATCAAAGTCCTCCTGGGCATCCCAGAACATCTAGCAGAGGGGTTAACATGCCTTAGTTTCTTCCTATGTAGAATGAGGTGGCTAGATTAGCATTTCAGAAATATTTAACACTCAGTAAATACTTTACTTATGATGTTCAGATGGGCTCAATGCATGATTTATGGAAGTTACACTTAAACCAAGCATAATGTACCACAGCTGCCAGAGTTATAGAGGACCTTAAGAGGCCATTGGCCCCTGACTAAAGGCAAATGAATGTCTAAACAATCCAGGACCAATGGTGCCTTTTCTTTCCCTTCAAGGTCAGAGGTGCCACAACCATCCTTAGTCACTCCTTCACAGATTTTATCCTCATGATGACCAATAATTTTTCCTTCGTGTCTAATCACCATCTCTCCATACACTCTAGCTTAAACCTATTTACATTTTATTCAATAGTCTCTAAAAATTAAAACAGTGTTACACCACGCAAACTACCAAGAAATTATTCATAGAACTAGGCAAAATGAGAACAAAATTAATAGAGGTGAACCAGAGAATGTCTAATTAATACCAGTAGCCCAGTTCTCAAATTATATCATAAAGCTCTAATGATTAAAACTATTTCATACTGGTTAAAAAATAGAATAGTAATTTAATGCAACTGACTAGATGAGCAAGTCTGAGAAGCAAACAAACATGGGAGCTCAGTGTCTGATAGACCCAAGAACAAACTACTGGAGGAGGGAGCCCTTATTGAAGTTCTGGGAAAACTGGAAAGCAGTTAGGCAGAAAATAGGTTTAAGCCAGCATCTTCTCCAGTTGGAGCTTATTGTGGTACCTGGTGTAAGTGATCTAAATCCTAAAGTCATGTTGTGAGAAGAATCATAATCAGAAAATGAAGAAAGGAAGTTATAAAAGAGAAAACAGACAATTTCAATGATATAAAATTTTAAAGCTTTTGCACAAACAAAATCAGGGCAGCTAAACTAAGAAAAACTATTGAGAAAAAAGTTATACCAAGGTTTTTGATAGTCTGACCTATAACATATAGGAAATTGACATAAATTAATAAAAGTAAAAGTTTTATTTTAAAGAATATAAAGAGTTTTCAAAAGGCAAAATAAGTTCTATCAACAAACATGGAAAAAATGTTCCAAATCACTAAGAGAATTGCAAATCAAAATAGACTCTCATCAAATTGGCAAGGATGACAAATGATGCAAATACTCAATGATTAGAATAGAATGTTGGAAGGGCTTCATCAACCCAGGCATATTAATGCAGTTTGTAACTATGTAAGCAAAGTTACTATGTTGTTTATACCCTATGATTCTGAGGAAGCACTACTGAATATATAACCAAGAGGGTCTATGATAGGAAGGAAGATTGTGTATGGGTGTGTGTGTATGTATGTAAATATATATGTATACCAGGATAGCAACACTTTTCCGTAGTACCAAAAGCAGATACCCATTGATTGGGTACAGGCTAAACAAACCATTCTAAATGAATATAATGAAATATTACTTTTTTCTGAGGAGCACTAATTATGAGAAATTCAAAGAAACATGAGGAAGCTTGTATGAACTGATGATCCTACCTGATCTGGTAGGTCCTACCAAGCTGGAAAGACTTTGAGTATAGGTCTGGTCAAGAAAGAAGTTCACACAAATAAGAAATACAGGAAATGGGGTACAGAAATCTACCCTGCCCTACAGGAAAATAGAAGGGGAAGGGGATAAGAGAAGGGGGGAGAGATATCAGGGAAAGCAGTCTAGGGGAAGGGGTATTCAGAATGCATGCCATCTTGGGGTGGGGGGAGTGGCGAGATGGCGTGAAAATTTGGAACTCAAAATCTTGTGGAAGTAAATGTTGAAAACTAAAAATAAATAAATTTATTAATTAAAAAAAGAAAAAAGTTCACACAAAGAAAGGGTCAGGAGACTAATGATTATAATAATACAGTATGAGAACACATAAAAGAGAAAATAGCTCAGGACAAAAGCAAAAATCTGCACTGGTTCCAAATGACAGAAATTGAAACATACCTCCTTCTTCTTAATAGAGAAGTGGTGGACTATGGATACAAAATGTTTCATACTCTGTCAGACAAATATGCTGCATTAGATAGTTTTGCTTAACTGTTTTTCATTGTCATAAGTGAAGGAAATACCAGGGGAAAAGAGGGAATCATTAGAAATGATTATATTATTTAAAAAAACACATTACCAAAATATTTTAAAAAGGAGATTCACTAAAATCTCAAAACAAATATGGTAGTAAAATTAGAAGAATGGTCACATTCTCATTAAAAAAATGACAGAATAGACTAATATCCTCTTCAAAAGTAGTGTAGCCAATGTAGTGTAGCCATTGTAGAACCAATCCAAGAAGTACCACCCAGAGCCTTGGCATCATGGAACTTTGCCCCAAGGGTAGTCCCTTGCCTCTTTGAGAAGGGACAAAGAGGTATGAGTATGTACTAAGTTTGAAGGTCACAGGATCATAAGCTATAGAACCAGAAAGGACTTTAGGGATCATTTTGTCCAACTGCCACATTCCATACACAAAGAAACTAAGGTTCAGAGAGGGAAGGGATTTGTCAAAAGGTCACACAGTGTCAGAATTGGGATTTGAACCCAGGTCCTCTGACTCCAAATCCAGTACTCTTTTTACTCCATCATGTTGCCTCCCCTACGTGTACTACAGATATCTATTAAGACAAACTGAATTCCCCTGCTCTTGTTCGAACGTATTTATCTCCCTCCCTCCTCACCCCAGAATTTCAGGTTCTCATCTGATCCTTCCCTTGTCAACCCTTCATCATTTTTAAGAAATAAGCATTATGGAACAACCCTAATGGATGTGTATCAAGGGAAAATTGCTAGGCATCTGAAGGCCCTAGGTACCCAAAATAGAAACTAATGCTATTTTATTAAAGGTTTCAAATCAGAGCCTCCACTGACATTCTCTGATGACTCACATGGGCATGGAAGTGACCTGGAGTTCTTTAAGATGGTCTTAGCTAAGTTAAGCCCTGATAGATCCTACCAAACTGGAAAGACTTTGAGTATAGGCCAGGTCAAAGAAAGAAGTTCATCACCAGAAAGTTGTCCACTAAGGTGAGGAATGTCTCAGCTATAGCAACTCATTAAACCAACAACTAAGTGGTGGGAGTTAGTGGTAGAGGACATACTCACATTGATTAAATCACTGGTTCTTGAAGTATCCTTAATGGTAAATGGTACCATACAGAGTTTCTATCTGAGGCCATATTCTTTCCCAAAAGAAAGTCAGAAAGGAAGGGAAGGAAGGAAAAGGATGGAAAGAAGAAAAGGAAAGGAAAAAAGGAAATGAATGAATGAATGGAAGGAAGGAAGGAACAGAGGGAGAGAAAGACAGAGGTAGGGACCAAAAGAGGGAGAGAAAGGAAGGAAATCAACAGTAACCATTTATTAAGCACTTACTGTGTACCAGGCACTGTGCTAAGCATGGGGAATACAAATACAATCAGAAAGAAAGTCTGCTCTCAAGGCCAATTCTGAAGGGGGAAAATAACAAAAAAGTGGGGGTGGGGGGGAGGAAAGAAGGGGGAAATAGCGTGTGGAGAGTTAGAAGAGGAGCCCAGAAGAAAATGAAGATGTAGCTGACTTGGACACTTTCCTTGAAATGGAGGTTCGGGGAAGAATTGATCAAACTGAGAAAGGGGCTGAAGGGGCTGCAGGGGCAAAATGTACTTCTGGGGTGAGAAGGCTGGGTCACAGTGAGCTTTCTAGGTTAGGAGGATACAGGAGTAGAGTGAACTTCCAGGGTGGGAGGAAGGGAAGGAAGGAAGGAAAGAAGGAATGAAGGAATGAAAGAAGGAAGGAGGGAAGGAGGGAGGGAGAGAGAGAAGGAAGACGGGAGGGAGGGAGGGGAAGGAAGGAAGGAAGAAAAAAAGAAAGAGAGAAAGAGAAGGAAAGGGACACAAAGAGAAGGAAAAGCAAGAACAAAAAAGGGAAAGGAGAGGAAAGGAAAGGAAAGAAAAGGAGAAATTACTGTGTGCTGTGGCTCTTTGCCGTTTTCTCTCCAGCTCATCAGTTATAGGCAGGGGTGAGGGACAGATTCTGATAGTAAAGTCAAGCTAAGGGGTCTCCAACTGAGCCCATCAAGTTCCAGGACTCAGGAAATCATTGTCCATGTTTTATGGGCAGCACAGCTTCTTATGCAAAATAATCATAAATTTTCAAAATAAAATTGGATTTAGTCTGGATGTTTTGCACACAATTTAATTAAAGATCCTGCTGGTCTATAATGAAGCTTAACCCAGAAAAATCATCCTTGTTCTCAGAAAATTAGCTTTCCCCAACTGATGTCAGAGACTGCCTGTAATGACCCACTTTTCTTACAAACAGAACATAGTGATAAACTAAAGGGCTGGGTCTGAGCTCAGAGCAAGTCTCATCACTTACAGCTGCCATATCCATTTATAAACCACAAAGCACTACATAAATGTTTATCATCATTATAATTTTCTATCCAAAGCTTCATCTAACTGCAAAACTCATTTCAGTCTGAGATGTTCAATTTCTTCTCAATAAACAGTTTTTTAAGTTAGAAGATCCATTGTCACCTTA